TTATTTTGAAACTGAATCTATTTCACGAATGCAGAGGATTTTCAAGCTGTATTAAAGTAGGATGAGAGAAAGGAAAAGTATAACTCAGCTATATAAAATAATGCTACAAAAACATAGCTAGAATGCAAAGAGTATGACTGAATGATCATATGATACCTACCAATATCCTTTTTGAAGCCCCAAAGTTGGTAAGACTAATTTTTTGTTCTCCTTTTGAGGAATTCTAAAAATTTATTTTGGGAAACTGGGAGGATATTAAAGGGCTCAGTGCAGCCAACCTAAAGCATTCATTTTGTCAGTAACTATCTCTGAGCTCAAATTAATTCTGGGCTTAGTCACTTCACCTTGATATGCGCCATAAAAGCTAGCGCAGCTGTCAAATAGAGAAAAACCTATACTTTATATTCCTGATCTTTGAATCAAGTCAAGTATCAGTGCCTTCAAGTATTTCTTGAAGGGAAAACACCCTTTTAAGTAGAATTTAAGGGTAGTTCAAATGTATATTCTGGACTAATTTTCCCCTTCCATTCAATTGTGTCGGATTCTCGGAGCCTGGATATGTCCCTGCAGTTCTCTTGGCAAAATCTTTTGGAAGTTGTTTGCTCATTGCCTCCCTCCACAGCTGAGAGAAATTGACTGGCCCAAGATCACTTAAACTGTCTACCTTAAATGGTCTAATGTGGACCTCACCCCATTCCTAAGAGGTCCGTAAAAGGGCATGCATAAGCGCACCAGCGTGTCTACCGTTCCTGTCCTACTGTCCCCATTTATTTGTACCCATTTCCTGTGTTCATGTCCATGTTTATACTTATAGCTGTTATCTCGTACATGTTTGACAAACTAAATAAATAATAAATCAATAAAACTTCCAGAGGAGTAGGAAGGTCACCCAGCTAGCTTTGGGCTTAAGTTGGGACCAGAGCTTCCCATCTCCCAGTTTCTAACCTGAAACCTTATCCACTACACAACTAATTTAAATTCATTGTAAATTGCAGTGGCAATCCACATAAAAGCAGGTTAGCACAATTGCTTCTTCTTGGTAATTTCTGTCACCAGGAGTCATTACACACACACACACACACACACACACACACACACACACACACACACACAGCCCTATGTCACTTGTTCAGTATCATGTGTATTATTGCAGACGAAGTCCTCTGGCTTTCCACTAAGGTTTATTTATGGCAGCAACAAAGCAAAGATATCAATGTTTGTCCAGCACTAAATGAAATTAAAAAAACATATTAGTCTTGACCAAAGCAACATGGAAGTTCCCAAGGTATGCAGTGCAGTCTATTTAATATCCCAAAATTTCAAATCCACAAATTGATTTTCAGATATTCATTGCTGTCAAGATAACATCAGGAAAATGTTGATAATAATAAATGCCTATAAAATAAAAAAATAAACAAACAGAAGGTCCATCCTCCTCCATGCTTTCTTTTGATTTCAGAATTATTATTGCATATTTATTATAAAACAATGTTTAACAAGCTCAATGCTATATGCAAAACAGCTCCTTTTAGGAGAAGCAAGAAAAATAATGGTATTTCTGGTGGAGCTATTCTGGTGGCAGGGAAGGGAATTTATAAAACTAAGATGAATTAGCCATATTAACAAGATATACTAATCTAACCTATAGGTTTTTACATGCAGCTATCTAAAAATGCCATCTAAAAGAATGAGTGAAAATGATTAGACACCCAATGATATAAGAAGATGCTCCATATTTCTTACAAGTATTCTCCACTGTCAGAAGATACCCTCATTAAGGGTAAGATAATAGTGGGTTGGTTCTCATGGACCATTGAGCAACACTGTTTTTGCTGCAGGAGAAGATTCAAAACAGTCTTTCAAAAAAGACTGTTCATCTTTCGGTTCACTTATTGGTAGCAAACGAATACATTTCTTAAGAAACCTTGATTTCTGGATTCATAAGTTTAAAATGGTTGAATTTAGTACAGTAGTATTGAAAACCAACACTGCAGACTTGATTTTCACTCCTAATGCTCCCATCTTATAGCGTAATAAAAATTAAAAGACAGACAGCTAAAATAATAACAATAACAACAAGCACCACTTGAACACACTCAGCACTGACAAAATCACCCACAGTCAATTGCACAAGACGGCTTTACCTGGGGTGCAACGATACCTTTATCACCATCAAACAACATCTGTCTATTGCAGGTTCTTAGGACGGACTGGATAAATAAAAATGCTAAATCCAATCTAAACATGTGCCTGGCTGCGTGACCAACCAAAACAGTAAGTGAAAAATTGTGTAGCAGCATGCTTACTAGCTCAAACATAAAAAAGCAACAAAAATAAATGCTATCTTCTCCTGAACTAATCTGAGATTTACAATTCACCAAGCATTCATAAATTCATGCTTCTGATGTTTCCTTTGAATTTTGTAATAAGCACATTCATATAGCATATTTTTTCATGCAGAATCTGTATCATTGCAATGTTACACAACTGAATTGCAACAGAGAAACACAATTCTTTTGAATTAAAAGCAATTACAATAGCAAGAGTCGTCAGAGTTAATTTATAATCTTACCTTGTTTTAGCACTCCTGTCAAGATACAGTTAGGGGCAGAGAGATTATCATATAACTAGAATGGAATTCCTGTTGCTAGTGACAACGGAAGAGACCCAATAATGATTTTTTTAAAAATCCCACAACTGCAATGTTCAAAATACAGGCAAAACCTATAACAATAGATTATTAGCATAAATATAAATCAGAAGTCATTATTTCTGAAAATACAGAAAAAGAGAAGCATCTTTTTTGTTTGAAGAGTTCTGAGCTATATTTCCCTTATGTCTTTAATGCTTCTTACAGAGTCAAAGTTGTAAGAGGCTGTTTACATTATCAAATCAATTCCAGTTGTTTTCTAGATACAATTCAGGTTACTGCTTATCCTGCATGGTGCAGAACTAGTTTATTGTGGGACCAAATCTCCCTGAAGATATCTATCCCACCAGATTAGACAAAAAGAGCTCACTCCAGCTGCCTTCCCTTAACTGCTGTCCTCCGATGGGACCTAGCAAGTAAGCCTTTTCCATAGTGACACCTATCCTATGTAACAGCTCCTCTGTTCCAACATATCTCTATGCTCTTTGCCTTTTAAAAGCCATTAAGACCTGTGTTTTCCTTCCAGGCATTACGCCCGGATTTGTGTAATTGATATGGAGTATTATGACACCTGGTTGCATGTAAGACTTTAATTTTGTTGCATTTTTTGTTATTTGCATATTGGTCCTTAGCTAAGGTGACCAGATTTTCAGATTGGTAAAGAGGGACACCTTTGACCGGGGGGGGGGGGGGGGCCTTGATTAAAATTTTTATACGGAGCAACAAAAATTTTCATACAACGCAAAAATAGTATTGTAATATTTTTTTTATTTCAACATAACTACAATTTACAAATATAAATTGTAACTGTTGCCAAACATAAAAATTTTGATCATGTGACCATGAGGATGCTGCAATGCTAAGTGTGAAAATGGTCGCTAA